TAATTTCAACACTATTTATTTAAAACAACATTTAACACAATAAAAACCCTCACATTTATAACATTTACATAGATTACAATTAAGTTGGCCACACTTGTCACAACTTCGACAAGGACTACAATGATGCTCACAGTGATGAAAACGGCTAACAAACCTAAGACAATAATTAGTTTTATGATTACCAGGACAACGATTGGTACAACGTTTGTATGGACACTTGAAGTGTTTCTGAGATGTAATAACGTTGTTTTTCATCGATCCAGGAAGATGATCTAAATATATTTTTTCATAGTTTAATGTGAGTTTATAAAGAAAAGAACTTTATTTTACATCTAGAATTACATATTAATAGAAAAAAAATGAAAAATCAACATTCCCAGTCTAATAAAAGATTTCAATGACAAAGAAGAGAACGAAAAAAAAACAATAACAAATTATGGAATGAGCACAGAAAAGTGCCAGACTATTGATTTTGTGTACAATGCATAGTAAGTATGAAGACTTTAATGATTTCAATCCTATGAATACTCACCGATCTGTTTGACTGCATGCAGAATCCATGAATGATAAGCATCGGTCATAACATATTTTGATACTCCAAGTTTTGTGCCCGGCCACATTATTGCATCCTGCAAGTTATTAGCTGTATAACCGGTCACCAATTTTCCATTTACAGATTGATAACCAACAAGCATTATCTTCTTACCACCAGTTTTTTGAAGATTATCCATAATTTCATTGGCCGATGATGAACATGAGCACATAGAAGAATAGACTGATAATGGCTCTGAACTGAGTTGATCTTTGAGCTTTTCATCAAATGGTGCTCCTTGCCAAATTTCTGCCTTTGCACTAGGTAATTTATCAAGTGCGCTTTTGAATAATTTGAGATACTTGAACCACGGTTTGAGGGTAGATCGATCATTCGAATTCCATGCTGCTTGCAAATGATCATAAAGACACCTATCACCCCATTTCATTGTATAAATATAGATAGCAGCTGATTCATCACGATTAAGATTATGTTCTGATGGATAGTGGCATTTCATTTTCGCTTCTTTGATATAGTAAGATAACTGATCAATTTTACCGTTGAAAGGTTCAAGAGATTCTTCAAGAGACAAAACTGGTTCATTGAGATAACCCTCGATGAGTGTCAGAGGATTGGTTGTTTTAATGTCAATCTGGATATATTGAGATATTGGACGATATTCAGATGATATTCGTTGCTCTTTCTTCGAACAACAACAACAACAACCTGCACCCATCTTAGTTATAACAATTTGCCAGAATGTTCGTATCTGACATTCTTTAGAGAAATAAAAAATAAAATAAATTGCTTGTGTAGCAATTCTATTTTTTTTCATCGTTACTACTAACAATCGCCAACAATGTCAATAATTATTGCTTCCGTTACAGCGTGCGTCGCAAAGGAGAGATTTTTAATAAAATATCGTACCAATAGAAAACAGAGCAACCATTGTTATGGTGCCCACATACACACACGTTGGTTCTTTCCTTTTCTTTTTCAAGGAAGAGAAAGTAATGATTGACAATATTTAAAATTCAACAAAATAAGATGTTACAGAAAAGTAATATTGTATCAAAAAGTGAATGAAAATTTGTATTCATTCGGCATATTTCTCTGTAAATATAGAAGCTGTTTTAAGTAGTGGTGAACCATTTACCTTAATTTAAAATGAAGATTAATGGTATTACTTAACACTCTATACGAAGTATTCAGTTTCTTCGTTTAAAATTGAATTTATCAATACTAAGTGAACGTGAATGCAGATGTAGAATGTAGGTGTAGATGTGGGCGTGAGTGTAAAGAAGATTCACACCCACACCTTCTTCTATTACTAAACTTGCTAAATGTATCTTACGTGAGCAAATTTTAATTCAAGATCAGTGTTGAGCAACTCGTGTGGATAAACAGCAAAAGAGAAAGAAAGAAAATTCATACGAATTAGAGCTAGCTGTAGGTCAGGCTAGGTCGCAGTTTGTGGCTTGGATAACATGTAATCAAATTTTTTGTGTATTGATCGATCACGATCAGCAGTAGTATTGTAGTTTCTGATATTTCGGTAAATATGTTGAAGTTAAAATTTTTCTTTTAACTCTTATGATCAAAGTTACAATAACATGCTTTAATTCTAATGTCAGAGATGCTAAGTATAGTACTTTGATGGCCTCAGTCACTTTCATTCAATCGTTATGGATCTGTTAAAACAGGTCGAAATAGGTATCAATTCTAAGTGTATGTTACATGATTGGATACTTAAAGGCAAAACAGAAGAATTTGTTTCCATTGTCCTTTGATATTACTTTAAACTACCTCTAAACTAGTATAACTTTGCTGGCATCCATTATTAAATTTATATCAGTTGGATCATATTCACTTCTAATTTACTAGAGTTGAGAACATTGAAATACGATAAAACAATTAGAGATTCATTCCATTTTAATGCAAGTGGTCAACTTTCAAAGTGATGTATAATTGATAAAAAGCATCAACGAAATTATGATAGTCAAGATGCAGCTGAAAGTGATTTTAAAGCAGATCTATAACGGAAGCATGTTTGACTTACTTGAAATATAACTTATCTTCTATTTCCCTACACTTCAAAGATGCATATATCGTATTGCAAACAAGATAAATTGTATACTACTTCATGTAATTTTATTCAGGTGGATGAAGTAAATACTTTCTTGTTTAGATCACGTAGAGGCATTACAATCATAAGAATAATTGTAACGTCTTTCTGTCTTTTTTTCTTAGTTTTGTAAATATATATCGATCTTGAATGTAGAAGAGAGACACAACTTCTTTTTATTCTATTGTACATTAGTTTTTTAAACAAAACCGATGTCAACAATCAATAATGAAATATTAAATCAGGAAAATAAATCAATATCAATGAAAATAATTGATGACATGAAAAAACAATGAAACGTCAAGCAATATGTATGCGTCATCTCATAGAATATACATTCTTATTTAGAGTTTCTATGAAGACTAAAATTCGAGAGCTGTATCCTTGTTTTTTTTTCGAAAATTTTTCATAAGAATTACAGGATGAAAAGATTGATGTTTCGACAGTTCTTTCCACTAGATCGACTCTTTTCAACTTCAATGTTATACCAAAGATCATCAACTTAGATTATTAATTGTTCTATTGTAAAAAAAAATAAACATAATCATCATATTTTATGACAAATAATAGCTATAGAAAACTAAGTTCTTAAACATTTCTTTGATTAAATTGATTCTTTCTATGTCGTTGTCAATTAAATTGTCCTGTATTCTACGACTAGTCATTTCAAAAAATTACCTTTATTTAAAATTAGAACAATGCTTTTTTTTTTCATCGATCATTATTATTGTTAGTTTTTGTCAGTGTTTTATCTTCTGAAGGGATGATTGAAAACTTTGGAAGAGTGAACATCTATTTTTATGAAGAAAGATCTATAGTACGTAACAGAATAACCACAAAGTTTGATAGTACCAATCTGACTTTCGAAGAAACACTGCTTGCTCGACCTTCATCCTGAATAAAATATTGTTTTTCTTAATAGAGAAGACAACGATTTTAATAGACTTAAATGTGGCAAAGCAAAAAACAAGAAATAGTTTTTAAATATTTTTGTTTTTTTTTTTTATTAATAATTATCTCTTCTTCTTTTTATTTTGTTGTGCTGTTTGTGATTTGTTTCTCTGATCGCACATACAAATACAAAACAAAAGAAAAAACAAACAAACAACGTGAATAGAATTCTCTTTTTCTTTTTGCTGTTTAAGATGATGTTTCCATTGGTGCTGTTGTCGATGTTTGTTGAATACTTTCTTCAGTATGTTTACCTTTGGCAGCCAATTTTGATTTTGAACGACGATCCAAAATACGTTTACGATCTCGATCTAATTTCAATTTAGTTATTTGAACCTAAATTATAAGAAAAAAAAACAAATTTTTAGTTCGTTTGTATCATTTTATTATTTACCTTTGATGGATGAATACCAATATGAACAGTATTACCATTGGCTTTTTCACGTGTAATTCGTTCAATATGGACGACAAATTTTTTTCGATATACCTGTGTTACTTTTCCTGATGGTTGACCTTTGAAATGACCACGTGTAATCTATTTATAAAATAAAATTTTTAGTTTAACAATAATTTCTCTTAAAAAAGAAAAGATACGAACCGCTACTTCATCATCTTTACGTAGAGGTAAACTACGAACATTATATCGTCGTCGTAATTCTTTATTTAATGGAGCACTCATTAAACGACGACGAATATGTGATGGTGCTGTAAAGTAACGTTTACGGGCTTTTCGACGTGATGATGAGACAAATCGATTACGTTTCATTGTTATATATACTGATCTTTGAATATAAAAACAAAAAAAAAAAACAAAACTTCAAATAAAATCATTCAATTTCAAAACGTTTTAATAACTAAAATAAGGTTTAATCGAAATAAAAAAAAGAAAACAGAAATAAATAATAAACAACTATTCAATCGTTCTATGATTGATCATTCGTCGTTGATTTTCTCAATTCAATATTTAAAAATCTTTTTTCTTCTTCATAATTAAAAATTTTAAAATTATTATAAAATAAAATTTTTCTTATCATTCAAATATTAATTAATGACTTTAAAAAGTATACAATATATTTTAATGCATCAATGCATTTTGTCAAAAAATCGTTGCTAAGCAATAATTGTAAAAAAATCGGTGATATGGTAGTAACAGGAATAAAAGAATGAAACAGGAAGAGAAAAAAAAAGTAGGAATTTCCTCTATTGTCACTTTTCTATTCTCTCGTTAATGTTGATGGTTATATATGCCTGGATAGATACTATCATATTGTTTAGAACAAAATGTGAATCTAGAGAAGAAAAAAAAGAAATTAAGTCAAGAAAAAGAGATAGAGAATTTTTTTTTTTCTTCGCCTCAACGTATCACTTCCAGTTAAAATAGCACGAGAAGTCTACTATCTATCAAATTACCTCTATTTTTTCAAGCATACTTATTAAAGAAGCTTTTTTTTTTCATGTATCATATTTGGTGTCAATTTATGTTTACATTATTTCATTAAATGAAGCACATTGAATTTTATTCGTTCTGTTTCTATTATTATTGTAAAAACTACTTTATTGAGTACATAAACTCGTAGAAGGTATATATGTATATATATAAATAGATATAGATACTTTTTCTTGTCAGTTCTCGTCGAGTATTTTTTTTTTCCATTCTTGAAATGAGTGCACTGCTAGAACTATTAATCCGACGATTTTTAAAGCAAGTTGATGTCTTGAATAGAATCCAAAAAAGAAAAAAGGATCAGAAAAAAAGAAGAGCAAAATGATGAATTCTAACATTTTTTTTTTTTAATCTTAAAAAATCTTTTAATATTGAAAAATAACAGTTTCTTTGTGAACTTTTTCTTTTGTCGTTTACTAGCATTCTTCTTTTTCTATTTATCATTTCCTATCTGTCCGTTATTTTAAGATTGACAGTTTTGATGAAAATCTTTCATTTTGTGTTCGATGGTTAATATCAAGTTAGCTTCCTCGTTCCTTATCACAACTATATTTTTCAGTATTTTCATTTTCATAGCAGGCAGGTGATGATGCTTACTCATTTACTAATACTTTCTTCTAAGTAACGGCACGTCTGAATTTGACAACTGACTTTCTTTTCTTTTTCTTTTTCTGTTTTTTATTTTTATCATGTATGTCATCGCTTGATTCATTTGTCATGACATAATTATTAACTTTTCTCTTCTATAATTATTTCTCTTTAGATGTAAGAAGAAAAAAAAGAAAAAAAGAAGTTTTACTTAATCATTCAGTAATAATGAGTACAACAGAAAATCTAACATCAGCACCATCAACATCGATTTCAACAGTTGAAACAAGTAATAGATCACGTCGTACATCATTGAGTCAAACTCGTCATCATATTAATTCTATTTCGGCACCAACACAAAATAGTAATAAAAGTAAAACAAATAGAAATGTTGCTATTATTAATGATGAATTTTCATCATCGAACAGTATGCCATCAGCTGCAGCTCTTAATGTATCATTTGCTAAAGATGAAAAAAAACGTTTAACAGCTTATGAAAAATTATTATATGATTCACAATATGATATGCGTTTTAAAGCAGAAGAAAAAGCTGGTCGACGTATTGGATTTTATCGTATTCGAGGTGATATTGGTTTAGGAAATTTTTCTCGTGTTAAACTCGGTGTAC